CCCCCCCCCCCCCCCCTTTTTTTTTTTCTCTCTTTCTGCCACCTTCCTAATAAACAAGGCAGCTTCCTTGCCATTCTTCTTCCCCTTCCTGATCCTTCCTCATGGGCTATTATTGCAGCCAAAATGCTGTTTTGCTTTCTTCCTTGCCTCTAAATCAGCTGTTGTGTTACCAGTCTCCCATTTCAAGAAAAGGATCTAATAGTTTCTCGGTACAGCTTTTCCATCTCTCTGGGGCAAAACACTATTTCGGGCTGAGTGGCTTTCCCAAGCTTGGTTGCATGTCTTCAGAATGTGTTTGTCAGAAGATCTTTTGTGAGACTGGCACTGTTTCCAATCTTACTCTGATATAAGGATTCAAAGTCCTTAATCTTAAAAAAAAAAAAAAAGGGATTGTTCAAGCAGGTTCACAATGTCCAGCTGCCAAACTGAACAAAGAAATTCATAGTAATTCGACACTTTTTTTTATTATTCTGTCTTCTATAGGATGATGAAGACTGCAAGTATAAGGCACAGTACAGTGCTGCTAATGACACTGGCTTTGTTGACATCCCACAAGGACACGAAAGAGCACTAATGAAAGCAGTGGCAGCCGTGGGTCCAGTCTCTGTTGCTATTGATGCAGGCCATTCATCATTCCAGTTCTATCAATCGGGTAAGGATTGTCTGACAACTTAAGATATAGTTGTGCTCTGTATCTGGCAGTTCAGTTTTGAATTGCTCTTTAGTTCAATTGTTGCAAAAATATAGTATTGCAGTTTATGCACAGAACTGCATTTTAGAAGACCTGACCCTGACCTTTTCTTCCGGTATGACCTGAATTTATAGGCTACAGTCCTTCAGTTGCTTTTCCTCCTGTTAAATGCTAATAACTGATGGCTTGAATTGAAACCACATCATTTACCATGATTTCATAGGAAATAACAAAAAGCAGCATTATTTCTTGCAAATATTGGAGTCCTAACTTTTACCTTCGCATTTTTTAGGTATTTATTATGAGCCAGACTGTAGCAGTGAAGATCTGGATCATGGTGTTCTGGTTGTAGGCTATGGCTTTGAGGGAGAAGATGTAGATGGAAAGAAGTACTGGATTGTTAAGAACAGGTATGCATCTTCTGTCTTTGGTTGATGCTCTTCTGCATTTGATTCCTTCTTTATGCAGTAAGAGATTCAGTACACTGGTGTATGTGGAGAGCCAATTAATGTGAAAGTTGTCTTCCATTTGAGCATGATAGAAGAAGAGGGAATACTGCAAAATTGGCACAACTTTCATAGTTACCTTTAAATGGAGACTCGTGTGAAGGGGCCTGCAGTTGTGCTGTTTGGATTATTGCTGAAACAGTCTTTAAGCGGCAGTTTCATTCTAACGTGCTTTGACCTGGCACGGTTTGGCCTGCTGAAAGCAAACCCAAAACTAGAGTACTCTGTAGTGAGATGCATTCAAGATTCAAATGACTTGTGCACTTTAGCCACATGGGTTAAGACAGACCTCCTAAATGCTGGGATAGGAGGCAGTCTAGCAGGTGCTAGAAGATGAGAGATGAGGTCATGGGGAGGAAGGGGGGAGGGAGTTGTCTGCTCCTCTAATCAGTTGTAGCTTTCTGATTGTTCTACTTTTGGGGGAAGTCAGTGGGTTAAGTTTTAAATGCCTTTGGATTCTCCATTCTTTCCACACCCAACATTGTTGCATGTAGTTAGAAAGAACTAAAGGGTTGCACCACAAGCTTGTGTGTTGCACTCTGCACAAATTGATATAATCTGTATTTTATCAATGCAGTATTTGGGTGGGGGGGGGTACTTCCCCCCCATAAAGCTGAAAAGTGATGTTTACCATTTTGTCCTTGGGATACATATGTATCCTGGTGCAAACTTGCTGGATCTTTTTATTAAGGCTAATCAAAGTGTCTCTCTCTTTCCAGCTGGGGAGAGAAGTGGGGTGACAAAGGATATATCTATATGGCTAAAGACAAGAAGAACCACTGTGGCATAGCGACAGCAGCTAGCTATCCACTGGTATAACTTATTGAAGAAGACCTAAGCATTTCCATGCAAGAGGGGTTTTAAACTGATTGACTGAACACATGTTGACACATGTGGTAGGACACTTGTATCTTCAGAGATTCAAGTTGTAACTTTTTTTAACTTGAGTTCTTTGAGTTTTTACATGTTGGTGATATGCCACCTGTTTAATGTAAATGTTGGTATGTAAACAGCATGCAATATTGCTGGCTTGAAGACTGCTTACTCAGACTTTGTATTATTCCTTTTTTAATTAATGTGCCCAAAAGTTTACTTTTTAAATAAACACTCAAATTCCAGTGTGT